CAGGAAGTACTACAAGCGATGCCTGCCTGTCATGTATCCATTTCACAATCATCTGAGAAGTTTCGTTTCATTGCAAGATCTACGTTTGTATTTAACCTCAGGCAAAATATTTCCAAGCTAAGAAAGTGTTGATCCCTGTACAGGACTTCCAAGGCAGAACAATTGAGATGCTCCTTTGACAACAAATGGGATTATATGAAGAGAAGGTTTTGTTAACTCACACATTTGATATACTTAAATAAAAAAAGTATTAAGAACCACTGCAAATGAAGGAAACCGAAAGGCAATACATTTTTGGTTGCTTCCCAGATGTCCCTAAGTATTTAAATGCTATTTTGTGCTGGTCTCAATCTTTTCTGACTGCAGGCCACTGTCAGAAGATGTGACCCCACTCTTAGCCTTCCCTTACATCTGTTCTAGCAATCACACAGGCAGAAGCCTGTTTGAGATTGAGAAAAGAAAAATTAGCCGTTCAGTGGCTCAGGAAATGGAAGGAATCCATCATAGAACTGCAGGACGTCCAAATTCTTGTGCGCAAGAGGTAGGGGAACAGCCTCCAGTGGAAGGAGCTCCCAGTTAAACTGGATTAAGCACAACACAGAACCACAGTGCGAGTCAACTCCACCTGTTTTCAGGCAATGACTGTTCCTTACAGAACTACAGTGTTTGCTACTTATTTAGCTACTGTTTATTCAAACTGCACTTTCTGACAGGCCAACACTCTTACCAGATTCACCCCACAAGAAACCCACCTGCATCTTCTAGGTTCTTTTGTATTTTCCCCACTCTGACACAGTTTATTGCTTTAGTGGGCAAGGGGACAAGCCTTTCTCCAGCAGTGACACTGGCTTAAGGGGAGTCATCACCTCCTCTAGCCCTGTGACCTGAAATTGAAAGAACTCCCAAAGCACACAAAGTATGTTTAGAGAGGAGATATGGTTTATTTCAGAGTTGTGCTAGGCTGGGTGCTCCACAAATCAAGCACATCACCTGCAAAAACTGCACCATATTTATCCTAATACATGATTAGCAGAACTCTACCTAAAACTACATTAATTGGTACAAAACTACTTAATCTACTTTCTACTGGTCTGTTAGTTTCACGCTTTTCATGCTAATGAGCCCACATGCAGCATTTACTTTCTTTTGGGTTGGAGGGTTTCTTGAGTTGGTGGTCATCTCCCCGTCGCATTTGCCTTTACCCGTTTTCAGTGACTTCACCCTCATTGGGCATTAGTCCAACATTTGGCACCTCTCTGGGCTGGATGATTGGCCTCTTATCAGTCTTGCAACTTCTTTTCAAGGATATGTTCAATAGGGAGTGCAACCAGCTAATCCTCCCTGATGGTTCCCAGGACCAAGTGTCCTGCTGGACAAAATTTATGTTCTCCTAATCTTATGATGTTGCTATCTGTGAAACATTCTCAACACCTGGTTCCTGCTTTGAAGACCCAATCATTCTCATATACAAGCCTCTTGGTTTAGTACTAAAAAGAAATTCAGCTTTCTGTGCAACAGCCTCACAGCTACAGCTTTGGCTGTTTCAGTGTTTGGACTTGTCCAGTTTAGCAGATGGCCACACAGCCACTGCCTGTGAGAACTGATCTGGAGTACTGGGAGGAAAAAAAAAACCAGCAAAGTCAAACCACAAAACAAACCACAACTTTCTACCACATCCCCATCTTATTTTGAACACAGCTCAGTTTCCAACACTGCTTATGCTTTCACTTCCATCAACGCTGCTCTCCCCCACCCCCAATACTGAGACTACAGCTTAGGCCTTACTGAAACCTAAAAGGTTTTCAAAGATTTCAAAGAGTTTTTCAAAAGGCAGTATTATTTGTATTATACTAATACTGTAGGCAAGAAAACCAAAACAAACCAGTAATACTTAATTTCTAAGTTCCAAAAAGTCTCATGCCAGCATCACATCATAATGGCTTGATTAGACCAGATTTTAAGATTTCAACTGTCATCTTGAAGATAATTTGTATCTCAAAATGTTAATTGAATCCCTTTCATACTAGTTTTATGAAATAGCTATGAAATGCAGCAGAAAGCATTGTTTAATAGGCAAAAATAAAAGATGCAAGTGGTTTACGGTGAGAACCCCAGCACTGCAAGGTAAAACTCTACAGTTCCCTCATGGAAGGACAGTGGAGTGCAGAGTTGTTCTCAAGTTTGGGTAAGAGACATTTAAAAATCCCTTACTTGCAGGAGTGGGGTGGGGTGGGAATACAGCAAGGTCCAGGACAGTAGTGCCGCTTGTTCTGTTTGGTTAAATGGAGTCTTTCAGGATATCTGGATTGCTTCAGGGCAAGAAAGTAGCCATGAAGTCCTGTGCAGGGAGAATGCAGGCTGTGAAACTCCTCCTGCTTAGTGCTGGTAAATCTGTCTGGCTGAAGCCTCTTGCTCTGCAGTTGAATACTGGGTACTTTTAAGACCATGAAATTCCATGACTACCATCCAGCCCATTAACTGGTTTTAGCCTGTGAAAATGCTGGAAGTGGCTTTGGCCTTCACTCTTTGAAGGAGTTGGGTAGAAAAAGAAAGTTCTTGTAAAGCAGCAGATGATGAGTTTTCCAAGCAGCCGAGTGGATTTATTCAGGAGTCAGAAGTGCTGATCAAGCTCAAAGACTGACACATAAAAATACATACATATTTTTAAACAGAAGCATAACAGTGTGCTCAGGCCCAAACTAGTAGAAAATCAGCTTCTTCAGTTAGTTTGATGTATGCTTATCCTGAAGAGTGACTGGAAGAGAAGGAAAAAGGCTCCTTTACTTGCTAGGTTTTAGCCAGGACAAGTTGATCTAAGCAACTGGAAAGATACTTCCATTCATTTCCAGATGTCTGCATATCCCAAGGACTTAAGAAAAAAAGAGGAGCTGTGTTCAGAGGGTTCAGAAAAGCACACATTTCTCCCCATCTCCTGAGACAGTCTCTCCCTTCTCATGTGTTGCCTGCCTGCCCTCATCTAAATGACAGAATTTTAGCTGTCAACAGGAAGACTGCATACAGCTGGTAAGAGCAGTACTAGAGCCACTCAGGGGAATAACTGGCAATGGAAACAACAAACTGGTTCCAAACAAGGATACGTAGCTGGGATTTCTTGTGGACAAAAGTAAAATCTCTGGTGGAAAAAATAAAAATCCCAATTACTATGGCTACCAGATACTAAAAAAGTACCCATAACAGCTTTGAGAACTGACAGGGATAGATGTGCATGTTCAGAAGTGACAGACACCACCACTTACAGAACGCATGTGGCAGTGGCACAGGAAAGCAAGCAATTACCTACATGTCTGCCAGCAAATCTTACCAGCAGTTAAAGATATATATAACCAGTCTCAATTGCACAATGTATTTTCAAATAATTCACATTCAAGCCAGAGCCACTTTTTAGGGTACAGAAGTTAGACTGTCAAAAGGAAAACAGATATATAGCACCTAATACAATGCTGATTAAGAAAACTATACTAAGAAAGAAGCAGCAGCATAAGAAATAACTGTCCAGATGGTTAACAGAGAGCCTGATGCGGGAATATGTCTGATACATCTCAGTATTGCAGAAGTGACTGATAGCATAGAAATGCTTTGAACATTAAAGCAGAAGTTATTCTTCACATAAAAAGACTTTGTTTCTGTTGAAGATACCAAATACTGTTCAAATACTACATACGCAGCCCTGAAAAGGTGTACAGTGTCACCATAACAGCCAGCAATACCCACTTTCTGGTGCAATATACTGGACTTCACCTTTATTGCAATTTATCTGCACTTCTCTACAACCTACTGCAAATGCAGGTATACAAAACAAACGCGAGAAATAGGTCAAATGACTGAAGTACTACCTCATACATGCCCCCAGTCCGCTTTGAAGCGTATACATACTTTGCCAATAATTTCAATTAAAAAAATTAAGCACAAGTCGTTAATCCAAACAAGTTTATCCACATCAAACTTTCTCCATTAAAAAAACTTCCTTTGTATGACTCTTTCCTCCCACCAGTATTTTATTTTACTTTTTGAGCTTGTTATGAATCAGTGAAAAGATCCACAAGGCTGAAACAGTCTCAACATGAGTCTTCAGCTTGATTTCAGATGTTTGGCTTGAAACTTCCAGGATATCCTCTGCAAATATATCCAGAAAAGTCCATGAACTTATCTCAATCATATTTTGAGTTAGCAGAAGACACAAAGGTTGAAAACTCAGGGTTTTTTTTTAAATTACCTTGTCAGGAAAAAAAGAAGGGTTGGCTAAAGAGCGAGCTTTGCTTTATTTGATTAATCAAATGGATTCCAACTCCAAGTATATTAAGATACTTTATACTAATAATTTTCAGTCTCATTCTGGGTTGTTGTGATTATTATTTCACTTGATACATGTTCCTTGTACCTCTTACCTAAATAACATGTACTGACCCCAAGTTTAACAGATAATCAACAAGTGTAATATACATTACACTGAATCAGGAAGATCTACACTTGGATCAAGTTGTCACAAAAACTTCTTTCTGTTCAAATCAACTGAGTTCTTTTTAAAGCTATTATTCCATTGTTCAAGGATTACTCATCCTAGACTGATTTCATCTCACACACTGCTCATAAGGCGACTTTGCATTTGAAAGAACTTCGTCAAAGTGACCGTGAAATCAGTCACATCACTCACATAGTTTTCTCCAGTTCCTTAGTTTTATTGCCTAAATTTACTCAGAAGAAAACATTCACTGGTGCTTTGATTGCCATGAAGCAAAATATACCTACAGATAAACCAGTAAAACTCTACTTGTATTTACTTTTTTTTTTTTTAAGTTGGGAGGATTCAAACACACAATGAATTTCCCACTCCCCCCATCCCCCCAGTAGAACAGTGACGTACGCACAGTGACAAGAACTATTTTGGTAGCTGAAGAGCAAGCAGCTGCATGAATTTCTAAATGCATTAAAGCATCTTCATAGCTCCTCCAAATCAAATTACTGAACCAAATTTGTAAAATTTAATCATACCTGTTCTCTTTGTTGCAGTAATCAGTGAAATCACTTTCATATCTTGTAGTATTTCCTGCCTTGGTCTCAGTTTCCTTGGCTTTAGAAGAGCCTGCTTTATGATTATACTTGGAGAGAATCTACAGGAAATATTAAAAGGGAATAAAAATAATTATCCAAGAACTCAAAACAGGATTACAGTTTATATATTTTTAGTAAAGTTGCAGAGAATTCCTTTTTGAGAAACAAGATTTGATAGGACTAAGCCTTTTAAATTTTACTATTTTGATATTAAAACTATTTAGGGGAAAGAAACGTGTATTAGCTAACCTGCAGAACATCGTGTGGTATCCTTGTTATTTCTGGAGGTGGAGGAGTACTGAGTAACTGCTCATAGTGATTTATTTTGGGAGGAGAAGGGTCTCCAAGATGTTTAAGATACTCATCAGAGCTCACAGCAAAAGGAATGCTACCTCTTGTGTATTGTTTATCCATTGCGCCACTCTTTGTCACCGACTCAGTCTTTTCCCCCTGCTTTACCTGCTGCAAGAGGGATTAAATGCCTTCAGTTAATTTACTACTTAAGTAAAGTATTTAATAAATGTTCTTACAAAATTACCATTAGAAAGATCTACAATGGCATGAGAAAAAGTATTAGAAAACAATCCCAAATCGACAATTTAAAAACTGCTTATAGTAAAAAGTGCGTGGAAATGTACGTAATTGCTATTTACCACCTTAGCTTCTGGTTTTAGCCATCTTGTTTCAAATTCTGCAAACCGTGGTGTTCCTGCATGACTGGGAAGCTGCCATTTGTCTGCCTCAGGTGACCTTGATAATGCTGTACTATTTGTTCTAGAAGGGGTTTTCACATCGGGAGTACAGAACACAAGTACCATAGGAGAAGTCATCCAGTCAGCCGCTGAAATGAAGGGAGAGGGGAGGTGTAAAAGTAAAAATGTATACATACACACACAAATAAATATATTATAAGTTCCAGTGACCCAGTTTAGTTTTGTAAGTCTATTAGTTTTAGTAGATTTGCATATTCTAAAACACATGTATCATTCTAGCTGATATTTTTAGTATGAAGAACCATTCAAATTACAGAATTCCACAAAAGCAGCAAATACAAAAAAAATAAATCCAGTCCTACTATGGAGTATAACTGAAAAAGCCCAACTTAAATCAACGTTGCTTTAGCTTCCCTTGCATTCAACTGTCACTATGTTTGCCCCAAGATCTTCACACATTTTTAAGAGAATATATTCCATCTCTCAAGGAAGTTTTAGCACTACTCTGGAAAGATCTAAGTTACTGTCTTGTTAGCCTCTCCCAAAGTGTTTTCTTTACTATCTTTAAACAAATCTAACGGGTATTCTCCAAAGAAAAAAAAAAAGGCAAAGTTGGCAAAACAGTAGTTTTTATTTCAGATAAGGTTAAGTTACAGTTACAAAATGGCAGATCCCTCTGCATAATTCTAGATGGATATGAGTAAAAGAATGAGCAAAGATTTATACTGAAGTGAGAAACTTTCTCATAGAAGCCACCAACATTTCATTTTCTAGACATTAGTACTCATACAATGACTGGACCTGCATTAACATATTTAACAGGAAACACAGTTTAAAAGTTTACCATGTGGGGTTTTTTTACCGTTTACTCCTACATTATGTAAAAAAAAAAAAAGCACATGTATATTTATTTCACATATTTTTAACTTACCATTCTGAACTGTCACTTTTGGCTGAGGGGTAACCATGACTGCCCTGGATGCCATTACTGGTACCTGCACTTCATGATAATCTTTTTTAACCGATCTGAAAACCAAAACGCTCAATTAGCTCTCAAGTAATATGAAGAAATCACTATTAAAGGAATACTGCCAACCTGATCATTTTTCTAGTACTTGTTCATCAAAATGCAAGTCAAAAATTCATTTCCTCAAAGACCTTTTTTTCCCCCAATTTCTTTCTTCTATGATTCTACTGAAGCAATCTGTAGCATGCAAGTGTTCAGTCCATCCATAAATTATCAAATACTCTGAGGTTTCAACCAAAGGCATAACCCCCTGCTCCCCTCCCCCCCCCAAAAAAAAATCCCAAACCAAAACCAACCAACCAAAAGGTATCCAAGAGTAGGATCAATTTTCTCTTAGAGGATCAATTCTATTTTAGGGGTACAGTCTATTTTATTTTGAACGGTCTGTTGCCTACAAAATTCTAAACAACAAAAGGAAGTCTTTTTGGCTCTTACCCTATCAACATTATTGTGACCACTTCATAATATTTAATTCAATTTTTAAGTTTGAATAAGATAATGTATGTTAAGCACTAGCTGACTTCAGAGTGAAAAGCCATTTAGTATCAATTCCACAAAACTAGAAACCAACATTTTTAAGATTCTTTTTTCATATCCAAGATATTCTAGTGAAAGAAGGGTATAGGCAGTTAAGAGAGTGCCAGATAAAAAGTGGAAGCTTATCTTAAGTCTATACAAAAGTGTACCTATAAGAAAATGAGTTTAAATATTTAAAAAGTTATCTTAACTATGAGAACCAGATACAGAGTTACTCTACAAAAAGCTTAAGCTTAAAAAAAAAATAAAATCAATTTGAGGCAATATATTTTACTTAAATGAACACATCTGAAACTGTGTTTAAAAAAAATAAATAAATTTGTCAGGTCAGTTTCACAGATACCTGAAACCATAGGATTTTTAGGTTTTAAAATGGAGCACAACAAGTGTACCAATAAACACTTTCGTTCACAAACTTTCCTATTTTTCTCCCTTCTTTCCCTTCCAAATCACTTTTGGTTTCAGTTTTGCAGTAGGTGCAACGTATGTTGTTCTTTTCACCTGCTTCGAAACTGAAAACCTGAAAAACAAAGTTGGAGGACTTGAGGTCTACTCAATATTTTTAAGAACTTCAAGATTAATTTTTGAAGTGTTTTTCACACCATGAATAGCTGCTGGACAGATTTCAGCTGAGTACAAGACCTGGTGGGCACAAGCAAGGGATGTGAGAGGGCAGGGTTGTCTCCAAGAAAGTAAGAATTATTACCTGTCTTTCTATCTGGAAACTACATGTAGAAAGGCTACGTCACTTGTACTAGGTGTGTTTGGGTTTTTTTTGTTTTGGGTTTTTTTTTGTGTGTTTTTTTTGTTTGTTTGTTTTTTAACTTACCTGAATCTCAGAGAAGAGACTCTCTCTGCCCATTACACAGTTAAAAGAACAATTTTTTTTTTAAATTTGCTGTCATAGTGTTCTGCCCACTTGACATGCTGAGCCTTCTCACTAAGAGGTGAGGTGAGTGCTTTCTGAAGGCAACAAGATGTGGAATTGTCTCAACCTTTCTGATCAAACTGCAAGCTAACTCTAACTTAGCAATGCAAAATAAACAAGCTAAAAAACAGTTAAACAACATTGTAATTCTAATGACTTAACGTCATGACCTCTCGCATATGCCACTGGTGCCAAATCCATACACAGCTTTAACTTCAGTCACAGTTACTGTGCGTCCACCTGTTTTGGTCATCAATAATGATGATGTGTTAAAGAGCAATCATGCTATAACTAATTCTCTACAGAATTTTAGCAATATCATTAGGGGTATGGAACACTGCTAGCATGATTTATTTTATTTTTTAAAAGTATGTGTTTTGTATGTCTAATCGTTTCACTAGATGCCAAACAAATAGAATCTACATTTGTGAATGCATCTATTTATAAATTACAGGCATAATTAAAGTTGAAGATCACATTCAAAACAGTTCTTATTAAATAGGAAAATTAGTACAAAACCACAAAAAGTTAGATACCAAAAGAACTTAAATTGTGTGAGAAGCTGAAACTATTTTAAAAAATTATTTGAGAGGGAACGGTTTTTGTTAATTAATAGCTTTCAGGATTCAGTAACAGTTTCCCTGTTATTACAATTCAAATATTACAAAGCTACATAGGCAGTATAGTATTTATATGACTATTCAAAAGGAGAGATCCTGAAACTATTTTAAAAGAAAATATGTCTTTCCACTTTCACTTTTCCCCCCAGTAATCCCAAAATTAAAAAAAAAACCAAACCAAAACCCCAAAACACTCAAAATGTAATCACTGCAGTGAACTGGATCTTTGGGGGACAAAGTCACTTCAGCTGGCATGGTTCTGAAGGACTTCACAGCTGTGCCTATATCACAAGTATCAGGGATTTTTTTTTTTTTAAAGTTGAATGATTATTTCCACAACGTATTTTGAATATGGTTCTTGTTTTTTTGAACAATTTCTTTAAATACAAAATATTTAGCTGCAGAACAATGGAGTTTCTTTTAAATACTATCAGCTTTTAAAACGGAATGTTTTGCTGATACTAACTATAGAAACACTATCTAACTACCTTTACATTACCTCAGAAATATAAAAAAATACTGCTGCTAAGGTGTTCTACACCTCACTGCTGCAAATTCTTTTCTTTAATTACCACAGTGAAAATCTGGAGATGTCTTTTCAACAGAAGACTGGAGCAAAAAGTGCTGTGTGTAATGTGGGGCTGGTAGATGTAAGAAATAATAAACCGTTTCTACAATGAGGCATTTTACCAAATGCTTTAGAAGTTTTTTTTCCAGGTTTTTCAATTCCTAAAGCTTTTGAAACCTTTAAATTGTCTACATAGTATCTACTGCAGACAACATGTACTCAAATCCAAGGTTAAGGAAAGCAAAAGATGAGATACACTGTGCGCTCTCTCTTTGTAAATAGATTGTGTATGGAGAGTTGGGTGCAGTCAAGGGAAGCACAGCAGAGATGCATTTCCTGGCAGCATTCGGCATTACAAAAGGTACATGAAAAGACGCGTAGACAGCTGAATAAAGACAAGACTAAACAGCTGGTAGATAACAATGTATCACCTGCTCGGAGAAAGAGAAGGGTAACAGAAGGAAGAAGTTAGGACAGCAAGAATAAACTACAGAAAATTCAGTAGAAAAACAGTCTGAACTTAAGACATTTACTTACTTCTCGCTTGCCTGAGCGGTTTTACGAATAAGTGATATTGTATAATCTTCATTCATACACATGGTATGTTCATTAATGCCAAAGTGTTCAATTCTTGGTGTTACACACTCATAATCATCCATCTTTAGCTTACATCTTGGTGTTTTGGGCAAGTTACAGGAGGCCTGTGGTTTTAGTGGAGTCCTGTTCCTTGAATTTTCTTGATGTGCATTTGCTGTGTGTTGTTCTTTCACTGCACTCCAAAGCCTGGAGAAAGCATACTGTGAAAGACCAAAATCAGAAAGCTTGGGGTTACGCAGCGGGTCTTCAGGGATCGGTGGCTTCTCAGCACAAGCAGAAAGATGAGGTACATCATTTGGTTTTTCTTCATCAGATTTATTCTGGGCAGCCACTGTTGAATCACTGTTAACTTCTTCTGCCTCTTCTGTTTGAGAAAAGTAATTAAAAAAAAAAAAAAGGGCAGAAGTTTGTTTTAAGAATTTATAAAGTCATAGAATACCAGGTTGGAAGGTAGCACAAGGCTCATCTGGTGCAACCTTTCAAGGTAGAAGTATAGTTTAAATGAGGTGAGTCAGCGCCCTGTCAAGCCGACTCTTAAAAATGACCAATGTAGAGGAATCCACCACTTCCCCTGGGAGATTGTTCCAATGCCTAATTGATCTCATGGTAAAAAAGTTTCTTCTGGAAGTTCAATTGTCTCTTCAGAAGCAACTCATCCCCTCATCCTTCCATGTGACTTCTTGTGAAATAAATTTGGACTTACCCCCAGCATTCAAAATCTTTCTTTATTATTGTAAAAAAAAAAATCCTTCTTTCATTTTAAAGAATTTCATTTCATTTCATTTTAAAGCACTGAACCTAAAGCTATGACAGATATTAAAAGCTCATATCAGGCTAAACTGTATTTATAAGATAGGTCACACATTTACTGAATTTCAGCCTACTGGTAAATATTATTTCTAGGAAAAATGGAATGGAAAGATTTTTACACAAGTATATATTTAATAGAATTCATCTCCCTGCATGGAATATGCAGGAAGTGCTAATCTTAAATATATTTGTTTCTGTTTAAGCGCAAGAGGGGAAATTCATTAAAGCATACAGCATAAATGATAACGAAAATAAAACTTGTCTAGAACTGAAAATATTTTTGGGAAAGAGCTAAGGCTGCACACAGTACTCGAGTGCTCATTCTTTACAAAAAATAGCACTGAAGAAAGGTTATGAAGCAGCAGCTAAAACCTCATGAGAGAGAGTACCTGTTTAGATTACAAGAGTCCACTGCAGAAAGAAGTAAATGTGTAACTTGTACATTTCTGTAGTTAAACTGAAACACCCCAAAGCATTTGTGGATTTCTGCATAATGTAAGAAGCCGGGGAGGGGAGAAGCTATTTAACATGGCAGAGGCATTACCTTTCTACGTGTACTGGTATTACGTACTTAGATAAGCTTGGCTTAAAACTACATCTTAAAAATAAATTAACCGTGTAGCTGTGTTTGGAGTATTCTTTAAAGGTATAGAGAGGACAGGAACGAAGGCGCTATAAAATCAGAGACTTTTGCCATGTCTTTGTAGAACAATTGTAGTAGCTTAGCTCAGAAGTGGATATGGTCCATGACCACAATTTTGTTTCGTGTCATGACTGGATAACCCTCAGGGAAAGGTTAACTGTGCCCTGTCAAAGACTTCTTTAAGATTGACTGGGGCCTTGGTACGAAAGGGCTATGGGTAGTACCAAGAGTTGCAGCATTTTTAACTCATTTGGCATATCTGGATTTTTCACACAGGTGTGGGTGCACTTTCTGACTGGGTTAAGGATCTCCCTCTGCCAATGACCAAGATACCACAGCTCTCATCACATGTCACCCGATCCCCATACGCACTTCTCTTGTCCCATTTATGCTACAGACCACGTTATTTTAAGATTTTTCTCTGCGGTGATTTAAGTTAATGAAATAATCACATATGAACCAATTTAGGTGCACATACAATAGTTCCCCATGCGTGAGAAGCTAAAGCAGCATAATTCACTGGGTTATGAAAACATGTTTGCTAACATATCTGAACACAACTGTGACTGGAGAAAAAACCCAGACAGTAACTGAAAAGCGTGCCAGGAGATCTAATTTTTCAGATTTCGGTTTGCTCTTATGGCACCAATCACAACAGAATCTTTTAACCTCTGGATGTTATTATAAACCAAATAACTTAGATGTACTGGATCTCTTAGTTAACAGAAGTACACACATAGCTAAAGGGAAATTCTATTTTCAAAGATTACTTTTGTCTTCACATACTGTATGTCAAGAATGCCAAGAAATATTACCTGGAGAGTTTTTCCCATGTTCTTTGTAGCTATATTTCTGGAACAGCTCTTTTATTTTTCCAAGATCTGCTGCATTTCTTCTCATCAATATTTCACTCGCCTTCATAAAGTCATTAATTGCTTGTTTTTCAGAGGAACTCTTATCAAGACTGGCATTAACATCTTCCTTTGGGGGTGGAGAGAGTGGAGGGAAACATAGAAATACTGGTTTTCAAATCACCACATGGTAGTGGTTTACATATGATGTGTTTTGGGAATAAGTATTGAACTCCAATTCAGATGAGAATAAGCAGCAAATTTAGGTCTTATCTATACCTGAAAACTAGGTTACAAAATATCAGGAATCTATAGGGCATAAGGGTACAAAAACATATAGTATTCTAACTACTTACTGGTAACCTCTCAAACAAAAATCTATGCTTTTACTCCATAAAATGAGATAATAGCAATCTGTACATAGGAAGGAAAAGTCCAAACCAAGAGTCAGTGCAGAGCAGATAGCAAACATTCAGTTTACATCCTAGCTTACTTCTTCTTTACTTCTACACTTGCTTATTTCTATAGCCCATTTTTCACAGAATCACAGAATCACAGAACGTTAGGGATTGGAAGGGACCTCAAAAGATCATCTAGTCCAATCCCCCTGCCGGAGCAGGAACACCTAGATGAGGTTACACAGGAAGGCGTCCAGGCGGGTTTTGAATGTCTCCAGAGAAGGAGACTCCACAACCTCTCTGGGCAGCCTGTTCCAGTGCTCTGTCACCCTCACTGAGAAGAAGTTTCTTCTCAAATTTAAGTGGAACCTCCTGTGTTCCAGCTTGTGCCCATTACCTCTTGTCCTATCATTGTTTGTCACTGAGAAGAGCCTGGCTCCATCCTCGTGACACTCACCCTTTAAATATTTATAAACATGAATGAGGTCTCCCCTCAGTCTCCTCTTTTGCAAACTAAAGAGACCCAGCTCCCTCAGCCGCTCCTCATAAGGGAGATGCTCCACTCCCTTGATCATCTTTGTAGCCCTACGCTGGACTCTCTCCAGCAGTTCCCTGTCCTTCTTGAACTGAGGGGCCCAGAACTGGACACAATATTCCAGATGCGGTCCTACTTATATTATATAAAGAACATTCATCACAAGTTTAACTGAATTGCTGAAGCTACTGAAACTTGTGTGATGATTTTCTTTATTCTAAGTGCTGGTCATTGAACACAAACAAGCATACCCCTGCTCCAGGAAGCTGCTGCTCCTGAATCCTTCTCCCCATACCTTTGCCTTGGCACAGCTACAACATCACTGTTACCTTTGTAATGCTGATCCAACTGACAACAGTGATTGCAAACTAATAAACACTGCTAAATCTACTAAGTCACCCACAAGTTTCTGGGCCCTGCCCAGACATCCACAGCCATTATGAGGACATAAAGGTAAGTGAATAAAAATAAGGGTCAGAACTGCTGACTAGCAAAGCTTAGTGATCAAAATATAACCATAAATTTCTGGAACACCTCCTCACCCCAATATTTCAAGAAGGAAGTGAGTTAAGATGTTACCTTCAGAGTCCTGATTTCACAGTTGAGGTCAAGTAAGACTCTTATTGGAGATTCCGCTTCATAGTCTTTGATATGCATGTTCACATAAAAGGGTTTGGAAAGAAAGAAAAGGGTATTAGTATTTTAGCATGCAAGTACACTCTACATTAGAACATAATCTCCTATATTAGAGATGTTGGAGTCATGTGCTAGAGACAAAGAGACAACAGAGAAAATCAAAGAGAAACTCATTCATATTGGGTACCTTGGACAGCATGAGACTGCAATTTGCACAGTACATTAACTGCATGGAGAAACTGCACAGGCTTTCATTATAATGTTGCAGCTAATACTGTAAAAAAATTAACGTACAGCAGGTATTAGTACAACAGGTAGGTCCCTGGCTGTAAAGGATTATTTATGCTAATTCTTGTCCTTTAAGAACTTTAAACAAGAGCAGAAGTTGAAAAAAGTGATATAGACACCACTGAAAAACAGATATCAACAGAGCTGAATTCTGCTTTATTTACACACGGGCAGATATCAGTATTGTTCACTTATACATGCAGCAGTCATTCCTTCTTTCACTGAGAGCCAAGGTGTAACAGAGGACACCTGTTATATGACAAGACATAGCACAGAGATACATTCTATTGGAAGCTTGAACTAAATGTGCAGAGAGAGAACAAGCTCTGCAAACACATTTTCCAGTCTCAATCTATGAAAAGTAGTAAAAACAAGAATGTGATTGCCATTGCAATCTGTTTTTTCCCCGTGATAAAAATCTCACCTACACATCCACAAAGGAGCTCAGAGAGGCAGCGGTAACAGGGGGAGCTCACAAAAATCCCCTGCCGAGCTACTCCCAGGCCCATTCCCGGAGACATCAGCCCACCAAAGGCCCATCTCCGAACACCCAGAGGGCCACAGGGGCACAACGGCAGGGGGGAACCCAAATCCAGGACTCCTAAGAAACCATCAGCGTCCAGGTGTGACACCCATCACTACCTGCAGCAACTGGAGCAACCCTGCAGATCACCTGCCGGGCTCGGGGCCTTGCTGCCTGGGGGTGCGACAGCCACGCCAGCAGGAGCCCCGGAGCAGGGCCGCGGCCCTCGGAGTGGGAAAGGCCTCGGTAGACTCGGCCGCCTCAGGAAGGAAATGAAGCGAGGTCTGCGCTTACCCGTGTCCTCTTTGGTTAGAGCCC